ACTTTTGAAATCTTTATTATATATAATTATATTGTATATATTAATTATATATGCATTATATGTGTGAATACATGTACACACACATATATATAAAAAATTCTTTAACCCAAAATAAATCATTTCAACATTTTGACATATGACCCTGAAGCAATTTGCTGGAAAATTTTTACCCAGCTGATTTTGCAATTTTTTACACATGCAATTTTGTGTGTCCCCTTTTTTACATAACATGATATTAGCATTTTTTATATCATTATTTGAAACAATCAAAATTGCTTCAAATTTTTCATTATTATTATTAATAAAATCCAAATTAATGTATAATCAAAACAGTAATATTAAATTAGCCTCCATTTTAAGAATTATAGTCTTTCCTCCTTTCTATATTCCTAGTACTACTTTAGACATCTTTTGTTGGAGGTGTATTAGGATCCTTCATATCTCATGCAATTTGTTGAATACTGTACTGAAATGAAAAATGGAATGTTTTACTTCAAATTTGCAGTACAGTTTCAACCGTATGTCTATAACTTTTATACTACTATAAAGTTGAAAAAACATTATTTTTTTAATTTCTTTTTTTTTTTAGATTTATTTATTTATTTATACAAGCACTGGGTACAGTCAGAAGTGCAGGAGGGTGAGAGAATTCACCAGAGTCAGAGCAGAGAGCAGAGCAGGCAGACTGACGAAATACACTGCTGAGGGGAGCAGCGGGCAGCAGGAGAGGTCTGCACACCATGTGGGACCCTCGCCGGTGGCCAGGGATCGAACCAGCGCTGCAGAGGCTGCGGGAAGCTTTGCAGCCCAGCGCTCAACCAGTGCGCCACTAGGGAGGCCTGAAAAACCATTATTAAGTCGATCACTAAAAACCATTATTAAGTCGATCATCTGTACTTTAAGTACTCACACATAGTTGTTTTTTTTTCTTTTTTAAGTACATAATAAACAACCTGACCAGTGAGGAATATGTTTAAAAACACATAAAGAAAAGAAGAAAGATTCATTTGATTGGACTTATTGAACCCATAGGGGTTCCTCAGGCTAACCACTTTCTAAGTATTACAAATCAATTATTTAATATCCTGAAGTAGAAATGTTTTCTCTGGTATATGACCTCAGAAATCTCCCTTTCCTTCCTCTTGTTTATTTTTACTCTTTTAGTGCATCTCCTGCGATTTAATTTCCTCAAAGATCAGTAAGAGTGGTTGTATAATCACAAAATCAAGCTTTTTCATTGTCTCTATAACAATCACATTTCTTATTTAAAAAAACAAAACTCATTCTATCTCACTTGGCTGAAAATTTATTAAAGGGATCTTACTGATTGAATTTATTGAAAGGAGTATTTAGAATCTCCATAAGGATTACAGAAATGGGCTCGAGAGCTAAACAAACAGCAGCAACATGCAAACAGCTGGGAGCACCAAGAGAAATGGCAGTGGAATGGCTGTAAGTTTATCTAAGGATACTACTACACCATTGTGATCTCATTTCAGTGATTAGAAGCTTGAATTTATATATCTAAGTCCAACTTTTGCCCTTAAAAGCTTTTCATCTAGACATACACACACACAAACATATACATATGTGTATATGTTTCATATGATGTATATAACTAATTGATTTATATACCATATTCACCTATTGCTTAAATTAATATGCATGCCATTTGTATTACATTTATACATAATGCTCAAAGGCAACAACTTAAGGTCTTTACCTATCAGTTTATTTAAGATCAATGTCAAAACAGCTGGTCTTTTTCAAGCTAATCAGTTTGGGGATAAAGCAAGTACATGGTTCTGAGGAGTGAGTGAACTGCAAGCACCTAGAAAATTCCATGAGTAACAGGATAGACAAGAGAAGTTGGCTTAGAATGCACGACAGACTTTTAGGAGATGTCTAACATGTGAAACATGAATGTTATCTGTGGTATCAATTTTTTACCTCTTTTCATGGCTAAAAAATGTCAGGAAATTTATCTATGAGTTGAAATTATTTTTTTAAAGATTTATTTATTTATGCATACAAGAGCTGGGGTACAGGCCGAAATGTGAGGGGGTGAAAGGATCCACCAGAGACAGAGTGGGGAACAGAACAGGCAGATTGACTGAAATACACTACTGAGGGGAGCAGTGGGTAAACCGAGAGGTCTGCCTCGCCATGTGGGTTTCACCCTGGCTTGGGATCGAATTTGTGCTGCAGAGGCTGCTGATTGCTTCATAGTGCGGTGCTAAACCCTTGGGCCACCAGGGAGGCCCCATAAGTTGAAATAAAGGCAAAAAGGTGGGTAGCTTATTTTTTTCTGTATCATATGGGGGCAATCGACACACAAAGTTTGCCAGAGGAAATATATTAAATGTATCTCATTATTTTCATAGATTTGATAAATAATCTCATTATTTATCATTAATCTGGAAATTAAAATTTCCAGACTTAGTAAAATTACTTGTTAGCCCTTAATTTTTGTTGGTTACAAATGCAAACAAATTTTGTCTGATGGAAGAGAGAAGCACAGCAAATTATGGCTTGTTAGACATCAAACAGATTTATATTTAACTCTGTAATCTTATCCTAACATTTTCTTGTTAAATTGTGCATAAATACCCTCATTTATTAAATGCTCTTCAAAGTGGCCATAATGTCTTACTGACTCTCTCATTAAATAATAAATGATTTAATAAAAACAGAAGTCTAAATCCTCCCCCATTCAATTCCATTTGATGCAGTTCTCCTCCCCAACATACTTCTGGGAACCCCTCTTACATGATTGTTTCACAAATGGATTTCATGCTGTCTGTAAGATCTGTGTGTACACCTGGTTCTCAACTACATTCTTCTGCAGTTCACTTATAGCCATCTCAAAGGCAGCTTTAGCAGGTGATTTTTTATTTCCATCATGTGTTGCCCAAGCATGGACATGTATTCTCAAAATACAGTTGAGATTAGGTTATCACATACCATGCTATGGACTCTGGTTGAAAGCTGGGAGAAGGCCTAAGAGTGGTACAACATGCACATGTGTGCACACATACATATAAATACAAACATGTGTATACATATACGTGAACACAGGTTTAGCAGAATTACCTTCTCCTTTTGTTCCCAGTCCCCCAAGATGCTACCATTAGACAAACAACATGTCCTTGTTGGAATTATGGCTTCCTTATACCCCTGTTTCCAACTCAGCGACCCCACCACCAGTAGCTAGGCAATGACCCTCCTAAGAGGTCTCAGGTCATCATCATTGAACTGTTCCTTCAATAATTTAAATTTTATTATTCTAACCTCTTCTCTAGAGTTGCTTTTTTTTCTGTTACCACCTCCATGAATCTGTTTTAGTCTCCAACTTAACAAATTTATCCCTAATTAATAATCCTTTCCATTAATTCTCTTCAGCAAGTAACAGTTATGGTTCTGCTTCCTGACCAGGTTGTGATTGATACAATGTCAGAGCTGGGACTCAAAGCCAGGAGGGTTGGTGTCAAAGACTGTGTCCTTAACTATGAGTAGGAAAAAATACAAACAAAAAGTAAAGTAAGCTTTTCCTTCCCTATCATCACAGGCCAGACTCTCCTCACACATAATCTCAAAGATGCTATTTTACCCATGAGAAATACAACCTTTGACATAACTATGTGGAGTAACTCAGCTTCCCCTTGTCACCTTTCCAACATAGGATCTGAGCTTTAACTTTGCAAAACCTATAGGGTGTTTTTCCAAAACTAAAGAACTGTCAGCCCCCAAAGGCACAATTTAGCCTTAACAACACAAGGAAACATTGACATTCTGGAAAGAAAGTCATTGTTTTTCTTAGGTTTCACATATCTAGGGCCAATTCCTTAGGAGAATTCAAGGTCAAAGTCTTTTCTTCTCTCTTGAGAAGCCTCTTCAAGGGAAACACACTTTTGAAGTACAGGTGTAAGATAAGCTGAGTCTTATGAGAAACAGTCTGAAATGGAGTAGCAGAGACCTATTCCCCACCCTCCCTCCCACCAACACAAATAATAGTGGTCATTTTAGTTTACCTGGCTATTTACCCAATTCATTAAAGTCACGTTGGCAGCAAATAACAGAAATAAAAATAATAATTAAAACTAGCAAAGAAATGAAATTGGTTATTCGAACTCAGTTGTGTATCACAAAACCTCAGGGCAAATTTCAACCGCTGCCTAATTTAGAGAGGAGGGACTAGAGAACAAGAGATTAGAAAGTCTTAACCCTTTCTTCCCCTCATTTTGTCTTAATATATGTTATTCTCTTTCTACTCGTCAGCTTCATTTGCTTTTCCAACACACCTCGGATCTTGAATTAACATGAGGAAGCTTACTCAAGAGTAAGGCCCTGGAGACACTAAATCAATGTCCTGATTCCCCATTTCAGAGATCCACTCCTTTCCAAGCAATTTCTTAAGAGTCAGGTACATATTTTACAAAATAGAGAACCAGGTTCTTCATTTGGAAAAGGAGTGATCAGAGAAGGCACAATTGTGTATTTAGCCAGATTCCCCCTCCCCTAGTATTTCTATTGTACTTACAGCTAGTTTAGTAATCATATATTATTAAATACTTTGGCAGATAATTATTTTTAGAAGAAACAAAAATATTCACTAAATGTCATCAGCTGAAATCTGAATGATTAGAGGAATTTAAATTTCTAAGAGAGTAGGGAAGATGGCATCAGAGAAGGTTCCTTGCTTTGTACCTTGAAGAATGAGCTAAGGTAGCCTAGAGGAGCGCTGGACCCAGAGGATCCTGTGGACTTGGGGCAAAACTTGAGCATCTCTTGGCCATTATCAAAGACTAGCACTGACTTGACAGAAGAGAAACTACAGAAATTCAACCCTATACAACAAAAGGTGGGTGGAGAGAGGCACCTAGAGGTTGTGGCAGGGGCAGGACCTAGCATTACAAATCTATGTTCCCAGTTTGTCTGGTGGCTCTATGGAAGGGAGCGCTGATTGGTGTGGAGGCGCACCCTTTACTGCGGGGTGGTACCTATAAAGGTGCTGGGGTGAGTCAGGTTGGGCAGGATCCCTAGAGGAGAGGACAGGGAACAGAAGGCACCTCCCTCAACCACACCAATGGTACTGCAGCTGATCCTCTGAAGCTGTGATGAATGTTCAGCCTCCAGACGCTGGAGACTCAGGCCTGGAAACTGGAAGGCTATCAGTGGTACCACAGGCACGAGTCATCCCTACGCAACAATTTCACCAGTGACAAGCGCCCCGGCCCCACTCCCCTGACTCTTCCACCCCCTGACTCAACAACAGCAGGTTAATTCTCCCCAACATACACCACCATACGACATACCAAAAGGCCAAGTCAGAGAAAAACCGACAGCACCATCTGCTGGAAAAGTAGAACTACTGCACCCTTGGGACTTGAAAGAAAAAAAATAGGCAGACAGGAAAATGTAACACATGGCACCTTGGGTCCTCAAGGGAATATTTACCACATAGGAAGAACAAGTATCCAGAAGTCAACCACCAAAACAGGGAGTATCATTTCTTCCTATCAGATACAGAGTTCAAAACTGTAATGATAAAAAAGTTCAAAGAAATGGAAAGAAAATGTCATCAAAGATACACAAGAAATTTCAGAAAAAAAATGAATGTTTTGAAAAATAAAACTAATGAACAGAGGAAAGAAATTGAAATTGAAATTTTAAATAAGAAAATAATAGGTATGTATGATATAAACAGAGATGTAGGATATAAAAAGATAAAAAATTGTGGAGAAAGATATAGAAGAATAGACCAAATGGACCAAAATCAGTGAACCAAAATAGACCAAATCAGTGACCTTGAAAATCATAATGCATAAAGAATTCAGGTGGAAGAATAAGAGTAATATGGGGGCAGGGAAGGATCAAAAAACACTTTGAGAGTTTTCTGACTCCTTGAGGAAAGGCAATGTAAGACTAATGGTATTCTATAAATGGGAGAGAGAAGGGAACAGAAAACTTATCCAAAGAAACAATAAAGGGAAACTTCCACACATAGAAACCAAACTAAATATGCAAGTCCATGAAGCTAAAAGAACACTTGGCTACCTAAATATAAAGAAACCTATACCAAAAAACATAACTGTGAAACTTCCAAGAATTCGAAACAAAGAAAGAATATTGAAATTGGCTGGAGGAGGGGAAGCAGATAACCTAAAAAGGTACCCCCATCAGGCTTACATATGACTTTTCTGAAGAAAAACTAAGGGAAAGGAGAGAATGGGATGAGGTATTCAATATACTTAAAGATAATAACTGCCAGCTAAGAACACTCTATCCTTCAAGACTATCCTTCAGATTTGAGGGAGAAATAAAGGTCTTCTCAAACAAAAAAGTAACTGAAGAAGTGTGGGAACACTAGACTTCTCCTCTAAGAAATGTTAATAAAATATCTCATCCAAACCAAAAAGAAGAAAACCCACAAAAAAACTAAACAAGGAAACAGCAAGAACCAGAAAACTGAGGACAAAATAGCAGTAGTGGACCCTCATATATCAATAATCACCCTAAATGTGAATGGACTGAACTCTCCCAAAAAAAAGACACAAAATGGGTGACTGGATTGGAAAACAAAATCCAACTTTCTGCTATCTCCAGCAAACACACCTAATCTCCAAAGATAAACACAGATTCAGAGTAAAGGGTTGAAAAACAATCATACAAACAATAGTGACCCAAAGAAAGGCAAGGACAGCCATATATATATATGTATCAGATAAAATCCATTTCCCTACAAAAAAGAAAACAAGAAACAGAAAACAATACATCAGAAAAGTATAACACTTATCAACATATATTCACCAAATAAAGGAGCATAAAAACATATAAGGAAATGATTATTAAATATGAAAGCTGAAAAAGTTATTGGTAGCAACACAATAATGGTAAGAGAATTCAGCACCTCACTGTCACCAAAAAACAGAACATAGACAAAGAAATAATAACCTTAAACCAAAAAGCTAGACCACATATACTTAATAGACATCTATAGGGCAGTGCACTTAAAAAAAAAAAAAACTGAATACACTTTCATCTCAAATGCATATGGGACATGCTCCAGGATTGACCACACATTGGGTCACAAAGTAAGTATCAATAAATTCGTCAAGAATGATATCATATCATGTATAATTTCTGATTATACAGCACCAAACTAGTAAACAACCACAAAAAAGGAAGCAGGAAAACCCATTAGTATGTGGAGACTAAACAACATACTACTAAAAGGCTATTTGATTAATGAGGAAATCAAATAAGAAAAAAAAATTGGGCCTCCCTGTTGGCACAAGGGGTTGGTCACCACGCTGTGGGGCAATCCACAGCCTCTCCAGCATGAGTTCGAGCCCTGCCGGCCAGGGAGCAGCCCACATGGCGAGGCAGACCTCTCCTGACTCACCTGCTGTTTACCTCAGCAGTCTACTTCGGTCAATCTACCTGTTCTGTGCCCCACTCTGTCTCTGGTGAATCCTTTTACCCTCCGCCCCCTGCACCTCTGGCTTGTGCCCCAGCTCTTGTGTGCATGGATGAATAGATCTTTAAAAAAAAAAAAAAGAAATCAGAAAACTACCTCAAGACAAATGAAAATGAAGACAACAGAACCTCTGAGACAGAGTAAAAGCAGTACTATAAGGAAGTGTATCAATACAGTACAAGCCAAATCAAGAAAGAAAATAAATAAGAATCTTATCTATCCCCTTAATAAACTAGCAAAAGATGATCAAACAAACCCAAAATCCAGTAAAAGGAAAGAAACAATAAAATTCAAGCAGAAATAAATGAAATAGAAGTAAAAAAAAAAAAAAAAAACCTCCTAAAGATTATCGAAACCTAAGCTTTAGTGATGCCTTTAAGGATACATTTCCCAACAGCAAGGAAAACAAAAAAATAAATACACATCTGAAACTACGTCAAACTAAGAAGCTTTGGTACAGTGAAAGGAACCACAACTAAAACAAAAAGACACATTAGCGAATGGGAGAAAATATTTGCACACCATACATCTGACAACTGACATCAAAGATATGCAAAGAACTCATAAAACTACAAAAACAAAACAAATAACCCACTCAAAAAATGGGTAAAAGAACTAAGCAGACACTTCTCTAAAGAAGACATTTGACTAGCCAGCTGGCACATGAAAAATTGTTCACAATTACTCATTATCAGAAAAATGCAAATCAAAACCACAATGAGATACCACCTCACAACTGTGAGAATGATCCATGTCCAAAAGACCAGAAACAGCAAGTGCTGGTGTGGATGTGGAGACAAGGGAAACTCCTACATGCTGGTGGGAATGCAAACTGGTCCAGTCCTTATGGAAAGCAGGATAGAGCTGTCTCAAAACATTTAAAGTGGATCTGCTATTCCAGCCAGTAATTTCAGTCTTAGGCAACTACCCAAAAACTTTAAAAACACAAATTCAAAAGGAAACTTTCAGTCCCATGTTTATTGCAGCACTGTTTACTCTAGATAAATTGTGGAAACAGTCTAAGTGCCCCAGAACAGATGAGTGGATCAAGATGTAGTATATACACAATGGAATACTACTCAGTGATCAAAAAAGATGAATTCATGCCATTTGTAGCAACATGGATGGAGCTTGGAGGGATAATGCTAAGGTAGTTAACTTAGAGAGAGAAAGATAAATACCATATAGTGTCACTAATATGTGGAATATAAAGTGACTAAATTAATAGTCAGATAAAGATAAGCTTTAAAACTAGTCCTTGCTAACTGACTACAGAACTGAAGCACCAAGGGGATTAAAGAGTAGGGAAGGGGTAAAAACAGGGAAAGCAGCACAGTGGTCTATGGTGGTGGAATATGGGTGACTATGGGTGAGTGGGTGGTGGGTGCACTACATCAGGTGGTAATACCTGAGGGGGTTATCCCAATATTACTCCATTAAAAATAAATAATTTAAAAAATAAGAACATAAAACATCAGAAAGTCTAATGATAGTGTACTTCCTAACTTCATGAAATTAATTTTATTTAGAATGTCAGATGCTTTTTATATTTATGGAAGATTTATATATATTATTTAACAACATAGAATTTTGCATTGTGCACTTCGAGATTTAGGAAAGTATCTCTATTTTTGAGCAAGAGATTGAGAATAGGATGGGGAAAGAATAGGGAAGAGGAAGAGATTAAGAGAAACAGATGCTATATTAACTGTATTCCTGTGGAAGCTAACTATATGAAGGGGAAGGTGGTGTCATTTCTACAAACAAAATGTAATATCTCTCATGCTCCAATCTTAAAACTGCCATATAATATTACTTTACTGATCCTTGCAATGTCAACAAAATAGGTTTTAAGGATTGCAAGTTGCCTGCTAAAGATGGAGTTTCCATATGATCCAGCAATTCCATTCCTAGGTATTTACCCAGAGGACACAGAATCATTAATTCAAAAGGGCACCTGCACCCCTATGTATATGGCAGCACTATTTACAATAGCTAAGCAATGGAAACAACCCAAATGCCCAAAAATAAGTGACTGGATCAAGAAGATGTGGTATATATGCACAATGGAATATTACTCAGTAATCAAAAAAGATAAACTCATGCAATTTGCAGCAACATGGATGGAGCTGGAAGGGATCATGCTCAGTGAAATAAGCCAGAAAGAAAAAAAAAAATACCGGATGGTCTCACTCATAGCAGGAATCTAGAAAACCTAAATAAGGAACCAGGAAAAAGACTAATTATAATAAAGTAAAAATCAAAATCAACAAGCAACTATGGACCAGAGACACACTATGGGGTGAGGTGGGGGGGGCAGATAGGGAATGGCAGGATTAGAGTCAAAATAAGGAGGGTGGTAATTGCATGGGGAATATAACCAAGATGAAAATGTATACATTGTGCAAAAATGAAAAATGATGTAAAAAATATATAAAATAAAATATAAAAAAAATAAAAGAATTGCGAGTTGCATTTGGGGAAAGGCAACCCAGAGAAATAAAGAGAACTTTGGAAATGAGTTCAGTGTGAAGACCAAATCAAAGATATTTTAATTTATATAAAAAAATTAATGAAGCTAATA